GGGTTGGCAGGATTGCCTGTACTTCAGGTAATTCAGAATTAATTCAGACTGTGGGATAGATATAGATACATAAAATAAAAATATAATATGTGTGTATGTATAGTTATTTTTATAGAATATATATAATTTTAATGTACTATATATTTTATATAGATAAGTATTTTTTACAATTGTCTAACAAATTCCTAAGCCAGAAAATAATTGTCATTAAAAAATTATTAACTTGTTAACTATTATTAACTATGTAATCTGTTTAAGACAGTGTATTCAAAGTCTGTCTTCTGACTTTACAAAACAGAGTACGCCAAGACAATAGTAATTAATTTTGTCATCAGAACCAGTAGTGTCCATTATGTGTTAGTAGAGTGAGATAGGGAAGATAGGTTGCAGACAAACAACGGTACTTTAGAAACAGAGAAAAACTGGTTATAGATTTAGGGTTTTACCCTTACATGAATAGAATAGAATAGTTCGGTTGGAAGGGACCTATGACAATCATCTAGTCCAACTGCAAAAATGCCCTGTGAAGTATGAGTGAACAGATAAGACCAGCTCAACTTCTACAGGAGTACTAACAAAAGACAGTATGATCCATATTTTAAGAATGGAGATTAATAGGAGAAGGCAGAGCAGACATTTCTTTTGACTGTTACAATAAATGGAGGACATTAAATTAAAAGGAAAATCAAAATGTTTAATTTTCCATTTCTTTGAAAATGAAGCTTTAAAGTATAGAATTTATTGCATAGAATATTCAAAAGATTAAAGGCTTATTAGGGCTAGCAATAGGACTGTATGGATTATGAGAATGTCCACAGTTAAACAGGACATATATCCTCACCTGAGTAGTTCAGTTTTAGTCTCATGTTTCAAAACATAAGCCAACCAATGAAGCAGCGAGGAGGAATTATACTTCTGTGTAATCCTGAGACATGAAAAGAAAATCCAGAGACAGTACTGCTCCTCTGTTCATTGAATTTAGCATTGTGGTTTGCTCATAATCTTGCCAGGAGATTTAGTCCTGTTTCTTTTTTAATATGCAGGGTGCCCAGGGTGCTCAAGGATATCCTGGGGAACATGGACCACAGGGCCCTCCAGGACCTTCAGTGAGTATGAATTTATGTCTCACTTGTTACTTCAACCTTTGATTTTCCCAGAAACCTATGGAATTATGCAAATACAAGTACCTGACTCTCCAGACTTGTTTGAGGACTAGAGACATGCATATGTGAAATACATATCCTTCTGCATGTATCTGATCTTTTTTTCAGTTTCTTTTGATTGTTTTTATGCATGATAATTTCCATGTTTTCACAAACATCTTTGTCCATGTAGGCATACATTTTAATTTCCAAATAATTACCCATAAATTCACTTCAAATACTAATATGTATAACTATAAGAAAGAGAGATGTATATGTTTGCAACTATACTGTATAGACATTCTGTCACCCACTCACAACAAATTACAGTTGCAAAGGTGGAAGAAAGAATAAAAATAGTGATCTAACTCATGTGAAAAATGGGTGCTGCAAAAGACCTGTATTGGTGCTGAAGATTGTAACTTTTTAAATGACAAAACTTTTTTTTCCTTTTATGTAGGGCATGCCAGGGAAAGCAGGACCTCCTGGACCTAAGGTAGTCTCATATTGGTAATAAAAATGAAAACTTCCTATTATGTGTAGCATCAATTAACTCATTTTGTAGGTGTTTTTAAAATTTAAAAAAATAACATTTGGGGATTTTTTTACAGGGTCTTATGGGACTGAAAGTAATAGGAACCAAAGGAAGAAAGGTAATTGTATAAAATGCTTAAAATATTTTTTGAGTTTTGTTTCTGTTTTCTGCTTTTTCTGATACACTATGGTGAAATATTTGGGGAGGTAAGTACACTAATATGAAAATATTCAGTACACATGTGGAAGTCTTTTATTGGAAAATGGAAATATGGCAATTAATATCTAAGGGCAAACTGTTTTCACATAAGAGCCAATGATATAAACTTCCTGATATAAGGGTAGAAACCTAAGAGGAGCCAGTAGTTAATATTTACTAACACATAGCATTAAATTAATTTATATATCATTTGCATAGTGTTCCTAAATGTTTATCTAAGCATGTAAACATTGGTAAATATATAGTATCTGTAGACTCACAACTTCTTACAGCCAACATCTCTACAGTGTCAGCCTTTATGATGCTAGAAAACCTCCCAGATTTTGATAAAAATTGGATGACTTGTTGTCCATGTTCTTACTTTGTATTATGTATGATTGACATTAAGCTAGAAATTACTAGATATACATATATTGTCTCTCAGGACCTCAGCCTGCAGTTGGACGACCAGTGTAGTTGGTCTGAATGTCCTTATAGGATCCTTTCAGGAACTTGGGGCATCTTATAGTTATACTAACTGACCTGCACAGATTCAGCTGTGAACTGAAACAGCAGTATCTGACAGTGGGATTAGTTTTAACTTTGTAATTACTACTGGGAATGTGCTAGAATTTTCCTAGAAAAATTTCTGTAAATAGAATTGATTATTCATTAGCATTAGCTCAGTTGACCATGGAGCATCTTGCTTCCTTATGAAAGAATGGTAATTCTTTGCTGTTATGCTGCAGGTGCATGCAAAAGCATTCCACTGGCTTAAAATCACTGAAAATTATGGATGTAGTTTTGTTGAGCTCCACAGAAAAGATGACATTTAGGACTTTCCCTGTTCTAAAAGATCTTTAATGAAGAAGGGTACTGCGATATTAATGTTTTCAGTTAAGAACACATGGAAGCTAATTTTACCTGTCAGCACTATGTTACAATCGTCTCCCTGTAATACACAGACTGCAGTTTTGAGGGTGTCACTAAAGACAGTTCATGTATTTTATTGATTGACTTAAACTGGGAGAAGAATTATACGCAAGGAGATATTTTTATTTGATTTAGAGTTAAAATGGTTATATAACTTCTAAGTAAATAGTATTAAAAATTTAAGCTAATTCTAGACACTTCAACAGAAATCATCGTATGCATTCTTGGATTTCTCAGCTAGGAGAAGGTTGTCATAGTCTTTAGTCTTCCATATGCCTTCTTTATTGGAAGATAAATAGCAAGCAAAAAGAAATATTAATTGGATTAACAGCTAAGGGTAGTAACAGAAAAATTTTCACCATGTCAAAAGTATAGTAATAGTAATTTTAAAGATTAAAACCACACTGTTTGTAATTGCTCTATTTTTCTTTTTTCTTTCAAGGGTGACACTGGGTTAACTGGACCTCCTGGACCACCAGGAACCGTTATTGTGACATTAAGTGGACCAGACAACATGACGGTAGTAAAATTGTTAAACACTGCATTCAAATAAGCCATCTTACTAGGTTTTACTTTGAGAGGACGTATTCATCTTCATTGTTCCAATAACATTTGCTTTTACCCATCGTAACATTTTTCAGACTTGTTTAGTTAGAAACTAAGCTCTTCTTAGAGTGTGTCTATACAGCCAGCTCAGCTGAGGCCTGTGTATTCACATGCACATCTGCACAATGCCAGTGGAATGCTAAATGCTTATTAGTTACCCACTTGCTTTGGATCTCCGAGTACATGAAAAGTAGATCACTTTTAGCTTCACCAAATCAACATGGATTTTCTGAATGGCTATCAAAACCACAGCTGTGTTGACATCTGGGCCTTATCACTGAAAATATCAGGGGTCTGAGCTACCAGAGTTTCACAAAAGCTTACAACATGTTTGTGTGCATTTCATAGCTGATTTTCTCATTGTTTTTACTGGAACATCAGTAATCATGAAACGTGTTGGGAAAACAATGAGTATTGGAGAAAGGACATACTCTGATTCAGCTTTCATTTTAAATATTGCCTTGTGAATTAAAATTCTTGCATTTTGTCCTTATATAGAACTTAAGCAGCAGTAGTTGATACACAGTTAAATCTTCACGTATTACCAGAACAAGACTTCAACCTGTTCTTGACTCATTTTACCTTATTTAATTTGCATATAATCCATGGCATTATCAAAACTCCCTTTCCATTATGTGCTAAAATAAAAAGTGAATTTTGCATCAAGACTGTATTGAGAAGGGAAGAGAAAGATTATAGAAGCAAGGATCAACTTCTAGGCACAGCAGCTCTTCCCTGTTTAAATCAAATATGGACCAACCTGGAGCACTTCCCAGTCACAGCTGTGGCAGTTTATCATGGGGCAATGGTAATTTTTCAGAGACATTGGGCATTAAGGTTTAAAAACCCATCAAAACTCCTTACATAAATAGTGTGGGCCATGAGTCTAACCAGGTAATAATTAGGCAGTCCATAAACTTTGCCTTTACAATGACCTTAGGATGTGGTACTACATAATAGTACTGTGCTGTAGGGTAATCGAATCTTGAGTCCACAGAGGCAAGGATCATGTGGATAGCCACTGGATTTACATGTTGGAGATGACTGTAGCTCCAGTGAAGCAACTAAGGTTTATTTGTTTTTCGCTTGCAATTTGTTGCAATTTCTGCGAGTATTTACTCCAGTCCCCTTGCATGCAATCACAGGTAGCTCCTTTTGAACTCGCTGTATTCACAGTAGTATGCACAGAACCAGTTTCTTTTTCAAACATCATAGACTTAGGCAGGAGCGCTGATAGGAAGTTTCTGTTTCTTTTAGGCATTTAAGTAGAACATCTCTGCTTGAAGAAGCTTGCTGATAACATAAGGATTACCTGTTTGTAAAACTTGAGTGTTACGGTAAACAAAGAAAAATCCAAGAGACCATACTAATTTTTTAATTTCTGTGTAATAGGACTTGAAAGGAGAGAAAGGAGAAAAAGGATCAAGGGGACTTCCAGGGCCAATGGGATTTACTGTAAGTGACCAGAAGTAATTCCCTTAAATCAAGATGTTCAGGCAGCATCACCTAGTAGATGCTACTCTTTAGAGATCAGTAGTTACATTACTTATTCCAACCTTTAATGAATAGAATAGAATACCTATTAATAGCATTCTAACTTCTTTTTTAAAGATAACAAAATTATAAAAGACCTATTTTATTTAGAAAATGTAAGTCTCAAAATATGTGTATCTTGAGGGTGGTTTTGTTACAGGGGCCGGCTGGTGATTCTCAGAGTGAAAAGGGTGACCGAGGAGAACCTGGAGCACAGGTATGTGAATACACATACGTTAGTCTTTCCTGAAAAGCAGTTTTGCACTAGTGTTGCTCTCCAGTTTTTGTTTTAATGCCACTCAGAGCAAATTTTCTTAGATTCAAAAGCTCTTTCATCCAGTAAACCAAACTAGAGAGCTGAAAGTCAGATGGCTGGTCTTGTAGGCTCACATACCATGAGTACATGAAGTAAAGGTCAGTTGATGGTGGATGCACTTGTATTTGTTTTTCTGTAAAGATTCTACTGTTGAAACTTAGTTAAAAAAAAAAAAAAAAGTGCTCTTCTGAACACATACTGGCTATATAGTGCCAGTGTGTATGTAGAAGAGAATTAAAAACATTTGGATTGCTTAAGTCAGCAGACTTAAATTTGTGTGCTCAACCAGCAAGTATGTGGAGACATGAAGAAAGTTGTCCTAAGAGAGTTATTCTGTTAACAGGATAATACATTATAATATCTAATGGCTGCATGAGAAAAAAAGTCATGTGTTTATTTTAAAAAGCATACACATTAAAATATAATTTATTTGAGTATATCTACATTTTGAAGATAATTAAATAGAAAGGTGCCACTTTGCATTCAGGTGGTTTTTGGACTTTCAGATAAAAACTGATCAATGAAGGATGCAGGTTCTTAGTAACTAAAACTGTATGAATTAGTAACGGTTTACCAGTATGTAATTAGGGGAGAATAAATGACTGAATAAAACATTTTGATTCCAAATACATTTTGGAAGCAATATTAAGAAAAATAATTTTAAAATTAAATATTTTATTCAGTCAAAATATATATATTTTGGAACTTTTCCCATATTTCTTGTGGTTGCAATAGATTTTCTTCCACAAGGAAAGGTAGCAAGACAAGACCAGTACTACCTGTAGGTTGCTCTTTCTTCAATTGTAGGGGGCTATAATGATGATGATGATACAGAGCAGCTTGATTGTTATTTTTATTATTTGTATACATTATGAAAATTTTAATTTCTCTTTGAGTTACTGGTGTAAAGTACTAAAAGTTCTTGCTATCCAATGTGTGTTATTCTTCCTCCATCTTCTGTGTTTCTTCCATATTATGTCTTCTGTTTGGAAAAGCTCTGTCCTGTCATGCAGTATTTTTTAGAACTCTTCTCAATTCACCTCTCCCTTCCTTCTTTGTGGAGGAAGTAGTGGAGCACGCTTGCTTTTCTGCCTATTGACCTTGAAGAATGCTGAGGAAATACATACAGTGTTAAGACATTGACCGGCTGTTCTAAAATGAAAACAAAATGTTTCCTTTTGCTATTGAAATTACATCAGTGAGCACAAAATATCAAATGGCTCTGGATTTTACATTCTAGAAAAAATTATTATTTTGTGCAAGCGAGTTTTGAGCCTGTGGTGACATCATTCCAGCTCTCCTTCTCTTCCATGGTATCACCTTTAGTTAAGTTCTGCCATCTTTTGAGTATTGCTGGTTTTTCTGATGCTTACGTTGTAATTCATGGTCTGGTCATCTTTTTCAAAATTATTTTAAGTTTCATTGACTTTTTCTGTGCAAAACAAATTTCTAAAATGTGCTTTCTCCCCTGTTGTTCTGAGCTCATAATCTTCCAGCCCCCTTTTATCTTACCACTGCCTTCCTGCTGTGGATTTTAATGAACCAGGTTTTCCTCATTTCTGCCTTTAAGGTGGCAAGTAAGGTACCTGTATTCAGAATTACAGTTTCCTTCTGTTTCTCTCCCCATTTTTTCCCATTCTCTCCCTTCCCTTTGTCTTCTTTTTTTGTTGTTGTTATGAATTGCTTAACATGTATTGTTGCCAAACCATATGCCAGGACCCCAGCAGAAAGCTGCCTAATGTGCTGTGCACCATGGAAAACCTCTGGCATGCTGCCTCCTTCTGTTTTCACTTTTCCATCTACTGCCCTACTTCCAATACCTTTGAAGTGCACTCCCTATTCTTTTTCATGAAATAATTTCTCTTCAAGTCATCTCTTAAACCCATTTCCTGTAAGAGAAGTTTCCCTTCAGTTCCCATGCTCGTCATTAGAATGGCTGCTAGTTGCTGTATCGTTTTATCATTTGTCTTGTTTCTGCAAGGAAGGAATTTTGCACCAAGTTTTCTGCACTTGCCTGGCACTTTGTGTGGGTGAAGTGTCTGCCTCAACTAACCCTCCTCAGGAGGAGGAAGATCCAGGGAATATCTTACTCCCTGTTCTGTAGGGTTTTATGGACATTAGTTATGTTAGTTATATTGGAAATAATGAACATTTAAAAAATAATCTTAATGGCTTTTCAAAATTTATAAAGACCTAAAATAAAGTTATATGCACAGCGTTTACTTGTTACATTCTTTGAATACAATGACCCCTCCTTTGATCTTCTTAAATTTTTTTTTTTTTTTTTATTTTATGTTTTTCCTTTGCAGGGTAAACCTGGAAAAGAAGGTGCCCCTGGACCACCTGGCTTACCGGTAATAAAGGAAGCCTTCTAGACATTTTCTAAGTAATAGTCATCTGTTTATCATGGTCATATCTTCCTGTCACAGCTTTTTCCCATTGCAGAATGTGTTTGAAAATGTTGATTTGCATACACTGTGAAACATTTCCTTTCACACAGCTGGCCTTGGGACATAACATGTCCTCATAGATTTATGCAGGAGGGAGAGGCTTAGTTCATTGATGTTGTTTCTTCTGTGTAAAATAAAAATACCTGTTGCTTGCTGCTGACTATGAGTTTGAGACATGGTCCAAGTTATGCAAAATTAATTCTACTGAGTTTAATTCTGGTTAGTCACACTGAAATTTTTGCAAAAGGGATATACCTTCACTTCAGCATAAAACAAGAAGCAAAATGAATAGTGCTTAATCACTAGAATCCAAGGCATTCTTTTACAAAGAAAAGTTTCAGGCCAAGGCAGCTGTGACCTTGACAATAACAAGATGACTGATAGATATTAAAACTGTCATCTTGTAATAATATCATTCTTAAAATATGCCATTTTATAATCAAAATTATCTTGTTTGTGTACTAGTGTCAAAGCTAAAGCTCTTCAAATGTATTTGGAATAGTGTATTCAATCCAGTTAAACATCAATCCTTTTACGTTTACTTCACTTCCAGTTTAATGACATCATTAGGGTCACAGTGACCTTACAAATATCTTCTAAAAATTCTTATTGTCAGAATATCCCATTTCACATATATCTTACTAAAACATGGTCTTCATCGTGCCAAAACAACCTTTGCAGACAGTCTAAACACATTCCAGTCTGACAAAGAACGTGGAATGACAGACCACAAAGTTCTAGTGCCTCAGCTAACAGAAAGAAAACTTTCTGTCATGGCAAAGACATGTCATTGCTCTGTTCCCATTTCACCTTTACTAACTAGCAGTACATTCAACTGCATAAGCCCCTGAGAAGTCCCTTTTCCTTGCCTATATACACTTGCAGAAAGCCTTAGCAGCAGTCTGCACTATTTTCTCTCCTGGTCTTGCTGACACCTCTTGAGATCAGCACCATCATGCAGACTGACCAAGTGCTGGGAGAGGGAGTTGTTGAATGTGAGAGTCTCACATTGTGTTCAGTTCCTTCGCTTCCAGAAACACTAGTTCACAGAGGAAGAACAAACCAGACCCCTCTATGCTTGTGCTATCCAGAGCAGCTCCACCTTAGGACTGTTCCTAAACTTCCTAAAGGAAGTTTTGGATTTGGAAGTTTAGGGACACCTAAAGGACTGTTCCTAAACCTTCCTAAAGGACTATTTCTAAACTTTCCTAAAGGAAGGTTTGGATGAGAAACCTGCAGTATTTCCCACAGACGTGGAACTGTACTCCAAACTGAGTCTTCCCCTGAGATTTCTTCCCCTGAGCAAGTTGCCATCACTATGAAAGATTAAAGCTTTCCATTTTAGGTCTCACTGATGACAGTGCTAAAAGATTAATCCTCATAAAATTGTGTACTGTCATCTACAGGGACAAAAGGGTGAACAGGGCAAACCAGGACTGGCTGGCAGGCAAGGAGCTAAGGTATTGTCTGATGGTTTTGTTGTTGCTTTTGAGGGTCAGGATATGGTATGTTCTGGGGTTATGACATAATTTTATTTATCACTGTGTATACAGTATCTTTTACTTTACCTAAAAGATGAAAAGTAATGATATGGAATAAGGGATGGATCAGCTGAAATGGATCATGTGTTTGAACTGCTGTCCATTTATGTCTGCTGATGTGTTCCTGTAGTTTCTGGTGTATGTGGCTGAATAGCTGTATAAGGAACAGAGATGGGAGTGGTGAAGGACTGGTCAGGAGCAGAAGTTCTTTAATGTTATGAGCAAAGTACTGAAGTAACAGCAGATACTAAATGTCATGTCATATATTGTTTTTAATAAACAAACCTATCTCTGTCGTCTGATGAAGGGGATGAAAGGAAACACTGGTCCACCTGGAGCCTGTGGTCGAGTAAGTGTAAATTATCTTCATCGTATCATTTTTCTAAACCATTAGAATAAGAATTAAGCCAAACTGAATGTAGGAGACAATAACGGATGTTCTGTGATGCTCTAATCGAGGCATGGCTTTCTCAAAGAAATTTTGATGGGAGTCTCACGGAGATGGCATCTTACTTCATGTAGAGCTGAATGAACAATCAGGGCCTTGTTAGACCTCACTCAGTTCTGGCAACTTTAGCAGGAGATGAGACTGTACAGAATAGTTACAGAGATCCACAGGAGTTAATTTTTAAACCAATCCCTAATCAGTTCCAAAACAGGTGGTGTTAATTTTAAAATCCTAAGAAGATTTTTTTAAAGAAAACAAGAGATGCTATGAGTATAATTTCTGTGTCTAGTCATGCTGTCTTGCTAGTGGCTTTCTTAAAGGCCCACAACTAATGGAAACCTTTTGCCCAAATTTTTCAAAAGAAATAACTTTGTAAAAAGCTAAATCATTTGTGATTATTAACAGAGTACTAAAACCCCACTGCATTTAAAAAAAAATCAGTAGGAGAAAAGTAAAAATTTTGAATTTTAAGCAGTTTTTTATTCCTTTTAAAATTGGTGCATTAGTAGTCCGTTTACATTTCAGTTTGATGTTTATATATCAAGGCACAATACTTTATTATAATACTGATTTGCTAGTAATGGTGTCTATGCAAAATAATCCAGAAAAGAGGAAAAATTTGTGGCTATAAAAAAACAGAGTTACAGCAAATTACATTTTGATTTTGCCTGTCATTTGTAGAAACTTTAAAACATCATAATAAAAAACTTTAAAAAATTAAGTATTAATTTTTATAGGAATGACTTTTTAATGCACATGTGATTTAAGTAGTTGATTTTTGTCTGTTTTCACGTATGATTACCTGAAAGAGTCGTATATATATAACTGATGCTGCTTTGAGCCAATGGAACAGACTATGTAATTCCTAGAGGTTTCTTTAAAGAATATTTTCTATTTCATGCTATTGAAATATTCATGATGGGTTGGAGAACTTATCCCTTGCCTGTATAATTGCATCTGCAGGCAGAGCAGTTGAGGAATTGGGCTGAAATCCCAGCCCCATCTATTTGTACAGGTCTCTTGGCATTATCTGTGTACAGTTATGTTTTCGTTTCTGTCTGCTTGTAATTACTATGTGATTAGGAAGGTCTCATGCTGTCACAACATCAAAGTTATGAATGAGATCATAACATTGTTTAACCAAATGTTCAATATGAGGCACTGTGCTTCTCTCTTCATTCTTACTATTCTTTCTTTTCTTGCCATCTTTCTCTTAAGACAGAGTATTATGATAATGTGGTTGGTGAAAAAGGAGATGAAGGACCCCCTGGACCTCCAGGACCAAAAGGTCAACGTGGCATGCCAGGTGAGTGGGACATCAAAACTTGAATCTTTCAGCAAGAGCTGCCCACTCAAAGGGCTTCTTGCAGGCTAGGTTTTTGAGCACCCAGCAGCCTGCTTCTGCCTTTCCAAGAGTATTTCCAAATTACTCCCACCAAATTGCAGAATTGAAATGTATCCTGAGACTTTGATTTGTGGTTGTATCTCCTCTTATAAATAATGAAGCTGGCACTCTTCTTTGCGCAGATAATTGAGTCGAGCACCTAGGCTCACTGACATTCTGTCTCATGACCTTAGTGGACTACTACATCAGCACCTATTTTGTGTATGCCATAGACAGACCATCAGGGCTGTAAGTCTCTTGTTAAAGGTCATGCACTTTTTTTCCTCTTCTCTTTTTTTTTTTTTTTTTTTGTAGCTTTCATCATTTATCTTACACCATTTTTATTGCCTATCATTTCAAAATAATAAAGATCTGAAAATTTTAATTTTGTTTATTTTGTCCATGCTGTAAAATTAAAATGTAGTGATTTATAATTTGGGCTGTCTCACAATATAACAAGGACTTGTGGGCCGAATTCTGAGGCAGCATCTTGTAGGCTGTATCTCATACTCATCCAGCGAGTCCTTGCCTTCTGTGTTTTGGTGTCCTAGTTTTATGAATATTTATGTATCCAAGTGATTGTGTTGTATTCAGTGAATACTCTTTGTTGTTATAAATCTACTTACATTCTTCCAAGGGTTGGTAACAGGGAAGTTGAGCCTTGCAAAGGTATTAATGCAAAGAGGTGGTATATTTACTAGAGCAAATAATAGTGGCAAAAAGAAGCACCTTTGCAAGCCTGTAAGTCATTTTCAAGTAATTGAGTGTATCCTAAGATGAATGCAGTGGAACAGGAATAGGATCCTACCTGTTCTAAACATCCATATCTTGCCAGATTTCAGTGAGAAATGTCAGTATGCAACAGTTGCATAAGTAGTAGATGCCTACTCAGGCAAAAACAAATTCTTAAAATAAACTTAAAATGCAGAAGACCAAAGTTTGCAGTCAGTATTAATGAGTAGTGACTTTGCAGAGTATGCAGTGGTTTAACTCAAGTTCTTAAATACATTGCTTTTGCAGGGCCACAGGGTCCTGCTGGAGATGCTGGTAGACCAGGTATGTGTAATGGTCCAGTACCAACAATAAAATACATTGTTCTTCCTGCCCATTATGCTGAATCAGCTTTGTGGAATCTTAACTTCAGATGACTTCAAACATATCTCTAAGTGGTAAAAAAATCATCACTCAAAAACTTTGATTGGCCAAGTATTTAAAGAGAGGTTAAAAATAATTTTTAAAAGTATTTACATTGTCATTGTGATTATTTAATACATTACAAGATAAAAAAATATTTGTGGGATGAACTCAGTATGTTTGTCTCTCATCCTGTTGAGTACTTACTTTGCTTTAAAATTCCTTCTCTTTAACTTCATTTTTGTATTTTTTCCTCTTTGGTTAGGTGTGTCAAGACCTGGTCTGAGAGGTCCCCCAGGATTTCCTGGGCCAAAAGGAATAAAGGGAGAGAAAGGACAAACTGGCTTGTGTATTGTAGGCCCTCCAGGACTACCTGGTGTTACTGGCAGACCTGGTTCTGTTGGATTACCAGGTCCTCCAGGAGAACCAGGTGACGTTTCAGTACTGTCTATATAATGAACAAGAACAAATCCAGAGTCATCTCAATATGAGATACCATATGAGATTGTAGAAATACATTACTTACAGGGTATATTTTGAGTAATATGGTTGAATAGAATTTCTCTTTGGGAATTTTGTTTCAGGATGTTCATGAAGCGAAGGTCTGTGCTCCATTGCTAATGAGATTCTGGGGAGAAGATACAATGACTTCTTACCTTTTTACCTTCTTACTATAAAAATCTGCTACCTAAAACCAGGAAAGACTAATGAGAGAAAACCCATTCTTAAAATTAATTATTCTAAAAGTTGTAGTGAATCTCTAAAATGAAAATCAGAAGGGGCTAATTCGAAAGCTAGAGAAATCACTTGCATGCCTCCAGACGTCTTAGTGAGTCTTGGTGAACCTTAGAGCAGGTTTGAAGTTCTGTCAGCATGAAAATAAAGCAGTAACAGTTTATAAAACTTCTAGAAAATTAATTAACTAGGAATACCTCTTTAACTAGGAGTACCAACAGCATTATGTTTCTTTTATATGTGGTATGGCCAAACCAAATTTTTTCTGAACCAATACCAATGTAGTGCTACTCTTCTTCTCTCTCTTTGAAAAATATTATCTATCCCCCAAATATATTACCTTAGGAAGAGCTCAATGCATGTTCTGTTTTTCCAAAGTAATAGTAAATACACCAGAATAATTCTGTCAAAGATACATGAGCAACATTAACAACTTAGCATCAAAAGAAAAGTTTCCTTTCCATTCCTGGTGAAAGAAGGAATTATGTTTCTGTTGATTCAAACAAAATGGAAATACTTTCCCCAGAAGGGACTGTGCTTTTTAAAGCCTAGACAGATGGATTCAACAGTCTGCTGAGATATACTTTGGCTTTACCATATTTATTCTCAAGTACTACCAGTTACAGGTGTTTCGGATTTGTCCAGGTAGTTCTCTCTTTTAAATGAATCATAGAATATCTCAAATTGGAAGGGGCCGATAAGGATCAGAATACTGTCTCCAGCTCATCCCTGCAACTTTTTCTCTCTTAGCAAATAGAGAATTGTTTGCATAGTCTGCTGATATAATTGTGCCATGCTCATTTCATTAACAGGTAGCGTAACATTTAGAACAGGCCTACCAGGACTTCCTGGAGAGCCAGGGTGTGCAGGACCTCCAGGACCTCCAGGAGAGATTGGCATGAAAGGTCAGTTTCAGAAAACTATCGCTCAGAAGTAGATGGTACAATCCAGTAATCTGCATGGATCCTTGTGAAATTTTGAATTTTATTTAACTCTTTAGCCATTTGATGAGTTCAGAGATTTAAGAAAACTCATTAGGGATAGCAAGATATCTTCCTCCCCTTACAGTAAACAGCAGCTAAAAGAGCAGTGCATGTGCCAGTGCTGCACATCAGTTGTACAGCACTGCAGCCAGGCTGTAGATCTTCACTGGGACGAACAAGTATTACAGATGGATAGGGTTTTCGTATTGTCCCACTGTTATGTTCAACACTAATAGTTGTTCTCTGAGAGAATGTTCCTTCTGCAAACATTACAGGAGCTGCTGAATCTCTTTGCTGTCTGCCAGTCATTAAAGTCACCCAGGCTGTGATGGAGCCATGTTAGTTTGAAGCCTATGTCCCTTTCTTCTTTTGAGTCAGTTTTGCTTATCAGTAGAGTGACTATATCCAAATAGTTTACTAAAACTAGACTTGAAAAAATCAAAATATTTAAACTGAATGTTCCTGCATTTTCAATTAAATGTAAACAGTTCTGATTCACTGTCAGACCACAGGTAGTTTTGTGCTGTGTTGGAAGTGATCTTCAAATAAAATTAAGGCTGTGTTCATACTGTTCTCTGGCCAAAAAGTCTTAGCCATCCTCTATAACAAACTGTGTAACACATTACTTAACCTTGGGAATGACTTGCTGTGGAACAGGTAATAAATTATTTTCATTCTAGGTGATGAAGCTTGCGTGTGCACTGATTGCAGCTATATTCCTGGAATACCTGGTGTTCCTGGTGCTCCTGGGCCACATGGCCAAGATGGCATGCCTGGTAAATTATCTTGTTGTTTCTAATAGGATAGTAGGAAATGCCAATGATTTTGCTTTTAGCATGAGAATCAGGTATGGGCATGTCTGCAGCATGCAGTCCTTGAACTAGCCCTGAGGTTGTGATGACTGTGAGAGCCTGATGCAGCTCCATCCACTGATGTGAGCACAAGCCCTAAAAGAGGTGAAGTCAGAATGCTAATAGGCTTATGTGCAGCCTATTATGTGCAGGTACTTATGTCAGTCTATGATGATGCAGTCAATGTAACAAGCAAAAACATTCAACGCTGGGTGTGATTATTGGAGCTTGTCAAAAATCTATGCCCTTGTTTTCATTTTTCTTTACAAAATACGCTGTTTCTTTTGCAGGTAGAGAAGGAACAACAGGCCCAAAAGGTTCTCCAGGTTCTCCAGGAGCACCAGGGTTTCCAGGAGCTCAAGTAAGACTTGAATTTTTTTAGATTATTTTTCAGATCCCACAAGAATTATTTCTGAGAAACCCCATGGCCGGTGTTACATGCAACGTCATACTGGGTGATCTCAATAGCTTGCTTTCTGTAGTAATGAATGTGTCTGCACGGGAGACTTAGGTAGAGACTGTAATGTGGACATAACTGACCTAGCTTTACATGAGCCTGTTTTGCTCAGTGCAGCAAGAGGTTCAGCCCAGGCAGTGAGGCAGGTAAATACCTGTGTGATTAACCTGTGCTGTGTTTCATGATGGGTTCTGCCTGGTATGGGTAGTTTACAGTTACCTTCTGTTCATTTACATAATTCTATAATCATGGCAGTGGCTGTAAAGCATATATAGAGTTTTGTGTGCTGTGATCATCATCAGACGTCTTACTTTTCTTGTTTCCAGCATACTCAGGACTTGCTAAAGCCCCAGCTGTGCAGAGAAACTTGCTTCTCATAATACTCCCTTCAGGGGTGCAAAGGACATTCCCTCATGAGAAGCATTATGGAGAGGGAAGGCTGACACCTGCTGCCACAGACATAACACTTGGCTGTTCTAACTTGTGCTTGTAGTAGTAATTATTCATGGGAAATTACAGTTGGCGCTGTCCAATAAAAAAAGGTCATGCACAAGAATTCATTGTGGTGGTTGCCATACAGATGCAGAATGAACAAGTCTGCTAACAGGTTTCTCCAGATGGCTCCCAAGAGTTCATGAGCCCAAGATCACTAGAGCCCCGGGTATTTTCAGCTTGTTCTTGTTTTGGCTGGGATAGAGTATCCATTTTGTATGCTGAGGGGGAAAGAAGGGAGAAGAGAAGTTAGCTATGAACAGAGCCAACTGTGGCTGTTACAGTGTCCCTGGGGAGATATTCCCATGCAGAGGAGAAATCTCTAATTAGATTTTAGGGTACTTTCTTGTCCTTTTGTGCCACCAAAGCTCAACCAGCTAACAGTCTGATCCATTAAGTGATCCTGTATTATCCTGCTTATAGTACTACAAATGAAATGATAATCAGGGCCAAAAGGAGGGAGGGAAAAAAAAAAACCACCAGCCCAAAAAACCCTGCTCATTGAACTATGCCATTACAGCGAATAAAGATGAGAATAAAGAGGACCACTCCCGGGTATTTAATTTAAAAAAATAAAGCTTGAAAACAGTTGACATATGTCTAGCACTGAAATTCTTTTGATTGCTTTGTCCCAGGGACCTCCAGGTTTTAAAGGAGATCAAGGACATAAAGGATCAAAAGGTGAGCCAGGATATGTGTATCCAGAAGGGCCAAAAGGTGAGCGGGGCAATGCAGGGGCCAGAGGAGACAAAGGAAGAAAAGGTTCAAGTGGATTTCTGGGAAGACCTGGCCCTAAAGGATCCAAGGGTTTTAAAGGTGAAGAGGTGGGTATGCACTGTTTGCAATTAATATAGAATTCATGAAAACCTAAGGCAGTATTTATATCTTGTACAACAGTCTGGTTTATTTATTTAAATATTTTAACTGGATATTCTTTTCCTGACTTAGGGGTACTATGCTCAACTATAGCAACCAGTATGTGTAACCAATATGTATGAAAGAATGAGAGTAAATATTCTTATGTAATACCAGAGAGACAAGGCTAGTGTAGCTACAAGTTGCTGAAAAACCTTGGCAGTCTATTGTGGTGTTAGCTTGCATATTTATATTGGATTCCTGTGATGGATAAGATTAAAAAAAAAAAAAAGACAGTTTCCCTGACTACTTATAATGCTTTAAAGGAAATAATAATTCAAATAATTCATGTTAGTCTTTTGGAGTTAATCTTCAGTCAGGGCTGAGAGAAACCACAAAAGCTGGGGGGACTGACCATAAAACTAGAATTGTTAGGGCAGAGCTCTTTGTTCGGCACAAACAAAAAGTAACAATTATGTTGTGTTGGCTTGAGAAACTGTAAAAGTGATTCAGATATAACTTTCTAAACCTGACTCAACAGTATTCAAGGAGAATCAGAGCTGAGTAGTTTGGGGTTTTTTTTTTCACTAAAGCTGTTTTAAAAAGAAAAAAAAATGTACACTGTAATGCCACAGAGATTGAAAAATCATGCTGTTGTATTTATTTGTACTATTTCACTCTTAATAGCCCTCTATTTGTAACCATTGATATTAAAATTTATATTCCTTTAATCACAAGTAAATAAGAGGAAAAATTCCTCTTAAATTAGCAGACCTACTCTGTTGCTAAAGTAATGTGAGTCAGACAGAGAATTGGCTGTGTTGTTATGAAAGCTGGCATGGAAAGCAAGTAATGCTTAGTATACACATGTGTCATCATTAACAGGGATTAGCTGGTTCAAAAGGAGATAGAGGACTACCTGGATTGCCCGGCAGTCTTGGTCTTCCTGGAGAGATGGGGCTTCCTGGACTGCCAGGATATGGACCACAGGGAATAAGAGGTTTCAAAGGCTCTAAAGGAATACCTGGTCCACCTGGATTACCTGGAGAAGCTGGTTTGTAACTTCCTGTTTTACCTATGTTAAAGAGCATTTATTGAAATTCCAGAGATAGATTGAAGTCAAAGACATAATTTATGAAACATTGGAAGTTTTTGTTGGTATGAGATTTTTACAGTGTTGTTCCAACTTTGGTCCCACTGTTGATGATAGAAAAACTCTTAGGGTCATAAGATAATTGAGGTTGGAAGGGACTGTATGAGGTTTTAAGTTCAAAATCCTGTTCAGAGCAGGCTCAGCTATGAGATCAGACCAAGTTACTCAAGGCTTTTTCCAGTTGTGCCTTGAAAACCTCCAGCGACCAAGGCAGCATATCGTCTCTGGGCAACCTGTTCCAGTGCTTGACTGTCCTCATCATGGTAAAAAAAGAGTCTTTAAATATGGATCCAGTCATCATCATTAATGTAAGCTAAGTCATCAGGATAAAATATGAAGGAATTAATAATTTTTGAGTGCTGAAAACATACCAGTGTATGTATTTTATAGGCCAGCATAATCTGGAAGAACTGAAAGTTGGATGGCAGATATAGTCAATGTTTCTTAAGGAGAATACCCATTAAATCTTTATGAAATGGATTTGCAGATTAAGCATTTCTCAGTTGCATTGTTTTCCTGATGACTTTGTCCTTCCTTTTCTGGGTCTCCAGTAGACTGCAGGAGGGCTGAGAGGAAGTCTGCAGGTGGGCTTGGTGTCAACAAAATTCTTTTACTTTATGGAGCCAGGGTCTGAAAGCTTTTCAAAGTGTGTTGGAGTTTCAGAAATAGGGAAACTGTAGAAGACTGCATTTTTAACCAAGTAGATTGATCACTAATATTTTTAAATGCTTAAGATTATATTTTGCCAAGCTATAAGCCTTTGTAATCTTTGATTATGTATTTACTGAAGGTCTGAAAGGAGAGACCAGTAGGATAACTCCATTACCTGCGTTGCCAGGACCTCAAGGACCAGATGGTTTACCTGGACCCCCAGGAGTGCCTGGTTGAGTACATCTGCACTAAATACAGTAAAATCAGAGATAATCTGATTGGGATTTCTCTCCCAGCTCTGGCCAGATAAAACTGTTGGGTTACTTTGAAATAACTATAAAAAGGATTTCTGTGGTACAGGAACAATGGAATAAGCTGTAACATTCCCTTTCAAGAAAAGGAGGGGAAGTGAATGTGAATAGGAAGGGCACACAGGGCCAGGTCCAGTGATGTGCAGTATGGCAGAGATTCCAAGCAGCCCTACGCTATGACTTTGTTTCAGCAAGAACCAGAAACACTTGGTGCGTATGTTGCAGCTTATATATCCCAAAAGGTGCCTCTGGCATAATTTTGACAAAAGCTTAATTATGTTGGGACTGCTGCAAACTTCAAAACAGAAGGAACAAAATTAGGTTAAAGCATTCTTACTCTTCATACCATACCCTTGGCCCTTCCCATGCTTTGCAGGGGCACAGCCAAAAAAGTAACTGTATTATTAAGTTTCCTGGTTCCTTTTTGACATGACTGTTACTAACCATTGCTCTAAGATATTAAGAACCTGAGTTTCCTTGGGTGGGTTTTGGACTTTGGTTCGAGGTGGGATTTTTTGGTTGTTGGTGTTTTAAATTTTTCAGAATTTTGAGTGCACTGAAGGACAGTAGGTGACATTCAGGCTACCTGTAAGGCATTTTTGCTTTAGTTTTGTAGAACAATAGTCCTTAAAGCTGCCCTGAATAGCATAGGAAAATTTCTTGGCAGCTTTAGGGTAGCTTCTGTTCTTACAGTTGCTTCTGTTCTAAGCATGTGTTTGTATATTCTTAACAAGTGAAAGATTTGCATGTGCGTGTAGTTGCCCCTAGAAGTCTGAAATTTGGACAGATTGCGTAAAAACTTAAGTCACAGACTCAGTCCTGCTTTGATACTGTGAAGGCAATTAACATTTTAACTATGAGCACCTGCTGTGGAAGAGAAATAAGTGTCTAAGTTCTAATATAATCTACAGTGGTGTCCTATTTAATAGTGACGAACTATGAAACACCTAATCTTACAAGTTGGTGTTCTGTGGTAAGATACATCACACTTTACTTATTTCCTTTGTACAGGTAGTGTTGGAGCAAGAGGTCAGCCAGGTGATTCAGGACATCCAGGGCCAACAGGTGACACAGGCTTTCCAGGGCTTGGATTTCCTGGAAACCCGGGTCCAAAAGGTAAAATACTCTTTTTGATCTTAAAAAACCGAAACAAAACAACAAAAACACCCAACTTTTTTTTTTAGTCCACATTAAAAACAATCAACAAGTTAAAAAAAAAATCAATGAACGTTAGTCAGACAGGCAAGTGTTTCTAACACTCTTGCACTCTTGTAATTTACTGCCTTCAGGCTTATACATTGCAAATTTGAAACTTTTTGAAGTATTTCAGAGAATCAAAGCTGGCAGTAGGAAAACATTTTAGAAGACATTGATGCTTCCTAGAATACTGCCCAAACAGGTACAGCTCACCTGAGTGCCACACTTACTTCAAATTGATTCTCTTTACCTGGATATGTGTTACAGAGACAGAGCTGTATAAGTGTCAGTACTTTATTTTTCATCCATTTTCGTTATGTGTAGTGCAATACCTGCTCTAATGTGCAGGTAATAGAGAGCATTTTGAATACTGTGAATTTGGCCATTCCTCATGCAAAGTCGTACTCCTCTTTGGACACTAGAAATATTAAGAACTATTCCCATAACCCCATCAGGGCGCACTGAAGCGGGGGGAAGAAAGCTCTGATACTAAAACTACTACCAAGCTGTTTGTTAAAGAAAACAGTAGGAAACTGACGTCAAAGTAGCTTTACTTTGATTAAAAAAAAAAAAGACATTAAATAACTGATTTGAAGTAAGTAAGCAAGCAGTGTTACAGTCGATGTTGAGTGATTATGTAAGGAACAAAGATGCGGTGTGTCACATCAACTCTAAAATCAAGATGCTGTCTTCAGCTTATGTAAGCTACTTTAGTGTCAGAGGCTCATAACTGCATCCATACAAATACCCATTTGGAAAATAAGGTGATAACCATAGCATCTGTACTGCCACTTAATTCCTTTTGCAGGAGATAAAGGACTTCCAGGAGGCAGAGGGTCACCAGGTTGTGAAGGAAAGATTGGAGATCCGGGCCGAGCTGGAAACATAGGACACCCAGGAGAAAAGGTTTGGTTAGAAATACAGCACAGACGTTTCCATGTGTCCAATTCATTAAATGTGACACTGTGCAAATAAATGAAGAAGTGTAAGGAATATAGGAGTTCATATGTTTCCTGACCAGTGATGAACAAACTATGATATTAAATTGTTTAAATATAAAGGAGCTCAAGCCAAAATTTTAAATTCAGATAAAGGATTTCAGAACTGCAAGTGTTTGGGATGTTTTAGTACTTCAGTCTTCAGAGCGCAAGGAGCATATTGCATTGCTTACAGCAAAAAAATAAGGCCACAGCTTCTGAAAAGATAGGTATTCAGAAATTGCAATTAAACACATATTTGATGGAGGCCAGTGACAAGTAAGTGCTCCGTTGAAGTGTAAAGGAAGTAGGTTGGAGGTAATACTGCAGATACTCTTGCTGATTAACAAGCTAATTAGTCACACAGTGGAGAAGATATTTTGGCAGGTATGCAAAACATAGTACATGTGGATTGTTTACATTTCTCTCTCTGTTGCAGGGTGACCCAGGCATGGTTATTCCTGGAGATCCAGGTGACTTCCAGGCCTGCCAGGGCGTGCTGGACATGATGGTGATGATGGCCTAAGAGGTACTGTTGTCAAACAAGCTCAAGGAGCACAGCATATTATTTTAAGGAAAGGAAAGCCAAGTCAAAAAATGCTCACTCAGAGCCTGAAAATTATACTAAATCATCACTAATCCAGTCTCCTTTATTTTAGGAGATCGTGGCTCACCTGGAGTTCCTGGAGATCCAGGTTTTCCAGGGAAACCTGCTGAATGTCTTATTGGCCTGCCAGGTTTGCCAGGTGGCCAGGGAGCTACAGGCCCACCAGGTAGGACCTTCTGAATCAAATGTGTCATTTGGCTGGGTGGGTCTGGGTTTTGTTTCTGCCTTCCAATGGCCTGAGTGAAGTTGGTTTGGGATACTAGTTATAGGAGAGTATGTGAGAAAATGTGAGTCCATTTACAAGATACACTTTCTGCAGATGGGTGGAAATACATGCACTGATTAAGGTGGATTAAGATTGAGATTCCATTGTACAATACAAAGAGTAATCACAAACCGGCCCAAATTCCACAAGAAAAAGGATATTTCAGTCATGTCTCCTAGAAGGGGCTGAACTTAGATTCCTTGGTGCAATGCAATTGATAAAGAAACAAAACAGAGGAAGAGCTCAACTAGGTGGAAACCAGGTTAGGGAGTTAAAGTACTGCATATACTGCATTCCAAGAGAAACACAGTCGGGTACCCAGCACAGTTCTTCACCTACATATGATCTCAAAAGGATACTTCTTAAATTTTTTTTTTTTTTTTTTTTTTTGGAGAATGAATGCAGAACTGGTGGGGACTTCATGTTTGTTTCTTTTCTTCTTTTTCTGAGAAAGAACAGTTGTCTACTCTCGCCTTTAATTTTTCTTTTAAAAAAAAACCAACACCACAACTCTTCTAACATTTCCTGAATGTATATGTTGTCTTGTAGATCTAATGTTTAGCCCCCAAACAGGCAGACTTCAAGAAGTGTTTCATGGTCACGATGGCAGCAAGATAGAGATAAGGGTTTGTTTTCCGGACAAATGTACCATATGACACTGTCATGCATTTTTCTTAGGACGAAGAGGTTCACAAGGTTCAAAAGGAAAACTAGGTCGTCCTGGCTTGAGTGTCCCAGGCACCTACGGAAATCCTGGAGAACCTGGATTAATAGGTCTTCAGGGAATTACAGGACTACCTGGTCCCAAGGGACATTCTGGAAGGCCAGGAATCTCTGGTGTGCCGGGTAAGGATTCCCCAAATACTTATTTTGACATGGAAATTAAGTCAGTCTCTGCAAAAAGGTGTCAGTCATGCTTTTCCAAATTGAAGATACTGAAGTATTTTTCCATCAACAGCTTTCATATATCATTGAGATCTATACAGAAAACAAATAAATCATCATTCCCTAAATGACGAGCCTATCTTGAAGCTGTTGTGACCTAGTCCTGAATTTTCTATAACAGAAGGCATGCCTAGGACATGAACTAGTTAAAATTCAAAGCATCTCCCCAGCATAATGGAAGTGTAAAGTGTTTAGTAGTTCTTACTCAGCATCCCCTTTCAAACAGATAGCTTATTAATGCTGTCTTGTTCTTCTTAAAAAGCAAGTTCAGATCTTGAGTCTGACAGAGTTGAGTCAGATCAAACTCTGTCACATTAACCAGAGCTAACTTTAAGTAAGGTGGGTAATCCCAGTAGGGTTTGGGGTTTGGGTTTGGGTTTGGGGGGGGGAGGGCTTGTTTTATTTTCAGAAATGTGTTCAGATTTGATTTGTAGAATAAAAGAAATGAGGTGTGTAGTGCTTCTTATCTCTAACAAAGATTTGCCATTACTATCAAATCCTGCATTATTCTGTGGGAAGGAGATGGTACATACCTTTTTATATATACAACCTATAAAACTAATGATAAACATGTAGCATTTGACTCAGTTGTGCAAACCTAGGTTTCTGATGTCATTTGAGGGGAGTCATCATGTCCCAGCTGGCTTCCAGCTCCTAAGCCAGAACATCCCATGACGGGTCTCCCATCCCTGTGTGGCTGTTTCAGACACATTATCCTCATTGTCAATTACTTCATTCATCCGCGGAAGCTGTTGCAGCTACTAATCTAGGTAGTTTGGGGGTTACTCTGTGTGTAAGTGCACACATGTGGTGAAACATGTGGTTAAACATGTGGTTAAAGACTGGAAAACTGGCTTCGACAGTATGTTATAGAAATGGAGAAAAAAACAAAATTAGCAATTAAACACTTAAATGACAGGCACATGTGTAGTTTTCTGAAGTAATGTTCTGTTTCACTAATCAAATACTAATAAATATGTTCCTACTGCTTTGATTCCACAGGCTCAAGGGGAGAGCCAGGTATAATGGGCCTGTTAGGAATTCCTGGACCCCCTGGCATGATTGGAAGACCGGGCAACCCGGGTATCAGAGGCAAGTGGCCATAGTATCTGCCTGCATTACTACTTAGAATATAGGAACTTCCATGCTGAAGTAGTCTCATGATGTGTCTTGATGTGTGTTATCACTCCTGAGTATGTGTGTCATACCAGAATTTCTGAGTCTTGTGCAGCCTACAGACTGAATGACATCATTTTTTTTAGCAGTTTTGAACTGCTGCCTTTTCTGTTTCATTGGTATTTGTAAAAGTGGCTGGTGATTTGCTAAATAAAGAGCAGAGCCTTTTTGCTCTATTTTTTCCTATCCCATTCATGTTCCAAATATCATTATTATATGTATTCAACAGATATAAGATTATACATATATTCAGTATAAGAAATAATTACCATCTCTTGCCATAATCTGTGCTCATAGATGTTTTACTGATGATTGGAATAATTAAGAAGCTAGTTTAGTTGTTGATTTGGAATGTATATTTGCATATGTAATAACCCTTGAAGACAGAAGTTTCATTGTTTCCTTTATGCTATTGTCTAGTCAGGTTTCCTCAGAAAATTTCACTTTTTTGCAGGTTCTTCTGGCTTCCCAGGACTGAAGGGAAGAAAAGGATTTCTTGGACCAAAAGGCGAACCAGGTGATAAAGGTTTTCCTGGACCATCTGAGACCTTGGTTGATATTGGGACTAAAGGAGAACAAGGCTTAAAAGGTACACATTCATTGTTCTGTCATTCAGAACTAGTTAGGGTTGTCATCTATGTTGCAGTTCCAGTGGACTCTAAAACATGGAAGAAACTGATTCTACTACTGAGAGTATTCACATGGCTTTGAAATAATTATTGCTGAACACTGTAACTGCCTTTTATTTATGGAATAGTTGGATATTACATTGAATTACATTTCAACAAGTTCATATTCCTTAAAAAAACTCTTATTGTAATGTTAAACCAGTATTAATATATCAGTAGTACTAGGAGGCTTATATACATAGCCTCCTAGTAGCATATAGCTATACATTAATTTTTTCACACGTTTACTAGCCCATGAACACAGAAATGGGTGTGCTTACCAACTAGATGCTGGATTGCAAAGAAATTAAGTCTGCTCAGAAATAGTTGACTGTCAGAAAAATTCCTTTGTTTGCAATATTAATATAGGTTCTCTGTATATGAGTTGTACGTGCTTAACTAATGCTGTCCGGCCTTTTGTGTAGACATTTTCCAATGGAAGCTTTCAGAAACTTCCATTTGTCTCCATATGAGAAATTCAGAAGGCATGAACTGTGAGCTTGTGTCTTGCTTATGTGTGTTCACAGAGTGGAAGTCCTATGCTCCGCTTCTGCTTCATTAGTTTTAAGAGTCACAAAACTTTGAACTCTGCATAAAGCTTATAGTCTAAGATATTGGTTTGTAATTTTTTTTTTTTTAATGAAACTTTGGTTTAGGAGTTAGAGGAAGAATGGGTCTAAGAGGAGAAAAAGGAGATGCTGGTGTGCAAGGTCCCCCGGGTCTTGATGGGTATGAAGGAATACCTGGTCTGCCAGGTATGGAATATGTATATTGAAAATTACTGTATCACATGGAGGGTAGAGGTAATATTACCTCAGTGCTAGCACATAAACTCAGCTCCAGCAGCAGCACTAAATTCTCTGTATTAACTCTGGAGCTTTTCTGAGAATTTGTTTTCAAAAGCTGCTATCTGAAAATCATAGCGGCTGCTACCAAATGATTCTTTGTTTCCTTCCAAATATAGACCATTGTTTGGGGTGATAAATGCAAAATATTAAATCCTGAATAATAATAACTTTAAAAGCTGATGAGGCCAATGCATAAACATGGGTATTTATAAAAGTGAAGAGAAGTTTGAATTACCAGTATTTAAAAAAAATTAAGAATTCTAAAATAAGAATGTTACAGTTGTGCACAAAAATATTCCAGAAGCTTTTTTTATTTCAGATTGATTCTATTTCCCTTTTCAAAGCCTACATGTTTGGCTTATATTTTGAAAGTTACCAGGTCTTCAGTGAAAAGCAGCCTTGAAAACAACCTGCATAAATTCTAAACCTACCTAAGCCATTTCAAAGTTTAGCTCAGCCGTTAACATAACCTCATACACAATGATAAATGTTGACCCATAAGTGAGACAGTGAATCTGTTTTTTCAAATTAATGCTAATAAAACATCTTTACTATCTGTATACTGTATTTTTGATTGAGAGAATTTCTTTCTAGAAAACCCTATGACACTATAGATACTTCAAAATGGTAACAATGAGAAATAATTTTAAACTTGTAATCAAAATGGCTCTTCTCATTATAGCAATTATTTGTGCTATATGCCATTATAGCATCACTGCTATATTCTGACATTGACATCCTTTATAGTCATTACGGTGTAGCTATCACAGAAAAAACTGCAAATGTTCCACTACTCCCTGACTTTTTATGGAAGAAAATAAGACCTCACCTGCCTAAATGCTCAGGCATGCTAGTACTTAGGAATTTAGACATCTGGACATTCTAGATGCAACTAAATCTTGTAATCATTAAGCTGAATGCTAATTTAGCTAAATTAAGCTGAAGATAAGCGAGTAGAGGAAAAAGTGCCTAAGCCATATAAGAAAAAGCTCTTGAGCATAGTAGTTACAAGAAATGCAGAATGAGTAAGTAATTTTTGTGATTGTCACAAGCCCAGAAACCAGACTGAACTCAGGGCGACAATGAGAGTCTAGTGCATAAATAAAAATTCATGATCTTGATCAAAATTTGCAAAAGTATATTTCAGTTGCTGCCCCTAAGTGCTGTGGTCACAAACCTTAATTTTAATGTTGATACATGAGTTGCTTGTTAATTCCTTGGCTTTCTGACAGCAATAGTGATAATTTTATCTGTGTCTGGGGCAACAGGAAGAACTAGACTTTGGCTGCATGTTGATTTATAAAATAGTAAGACACCATGACAAGGTGGGTGGTAGAGGATTCTGTATTCATGGCAGCTCTACCAGCTAGCCAGTGTCCAAAGCAAACATGTGAAGGTGACGCTTATTTCTTCATCTTGCAGGTGTCAAAGGATTTATGGGTCTTCCAGGGATTCCTGGAGGACAAGGATTCCCAGGTGCACCAGGAAACAAAGGGGACATGGGAATTCCAGGTCATTTTCTATCAAGCCATATTACAGATTCATAGAGCTGTATAGAAGCATTTGCACAGATCTGAGCAGTTACTGTAAGCACACTACGCAATACTTAGAATGGGATTTATTCTTTGCAGTACCTATAGAATTCTCACCACCCCAGCATTTGCTTGACTTGCAGAATGAAGTACTCCCTCTCTCTAAATGAAATAGAACTTCTTTAATTCATGTATTGTTACGTGTAAGAACCTCTTTTTAATGTGTTTAGAAATAAAATCACTGGCTGTGTAAATTACTTTAATGAAGAATGAATATCTGAATATACAAGCAGTAGTTCACAAAACACAAGGTGTGGTATGCAGTTTATGGTCCTTTTAAGAATGGTATCGCTATCTGTATTTTTCCAGGTCCAAAAGGACAAAAAGGATCTCCGGGCTTTCCAGGACTGTCAGGTGACCCTGGTCCACCAGGCTATGGTGGCTTTCCAGGTGACAAAGGAGACCCTGGGTACCCATCTGCTGGGCCTCCAGGAGAACCTGGTCCAAAGGTATAAAGGCAATGGAAACATTGTCATATTAGGTAATAAGCAGAGACTTTGACTACAGACACAGAACAACATGTAAGCAAGAGCTGCAGAGTTTGCAGAAATAGATGATTTGTTAGTGACAAGAAATACGAAAATCCTATTGTGTCACTACTCAGGAGAAATTTTTGAGTTCATTATATTTAATTTTTCTCTTGGTGCAAGAATTTTTTATTTGTAAAGATGGAACATCGTGAAAATAGCAGCTTTCACAAAAACAAAGCTAATCCTTTAAGAACAAGGACTTACACTTAGAAAGTCAGTGGTAGGAATACTTGTATGTTAAAAAGTACAGAAAAACATAATCATAGCAAATGTGAAATTCTGTAATCTAAAATTGTATTGTTGGTTTTTGACAGTCTAATAATATCATTGCACAAGATGAATTGGGCTTTTTTATTAGCAATATAAAAATATATTGCTAAGGAAAACCTATCTAAATTAGGTCAGTTGTATACAATTTTACTCCACGTATTCTGGTTGTTGAACCACTGGGAGTCTTTTTACATATGAGATTATCTGAAATACGTGGTTAAGGCTGTAAACTGTACTACAACTCCTATAATCTGTCTAAATTATCTGCTTATTTTCTGTATTAGTTGGATAGCTGTCATGAAAGTTAGTAGGAATTCAAGGAAAAATATGCATTTCACTACTTTGTATAGCTGCATATTATGTAAAGAATGTATGTTTGGATCAAAAAGGAGCTCTTAGAATAAAATGGAAGGGAAGTCTATGTGCCGGTGAAAACATCTAAAGACTGAAGTTGGTTTGTACAGATTAAAGAAGGATCTTTTTTTCTTAGCTATATCTTAAAGGATCACTGGTCCTTGGACTTCAGGAGAGCTAACTTTGGCCTCTTCGGGGACCTACTTGGAAGAATTCCATGGGCTAAGGCTCTTGAAGGTAGGGGAGTCCAAGAGAGCTGGCTGCTATTTAAGCAGCTCTTCCTCCGTGCTCAGGATTGGTGCATCCCTATGAGCAGGAAATCAAGTAAACAAGGCAAGAGGCCTGCATGGATGAACAAGGAGCTTCTAGTGAAACTCAAAGAAAAGGGTAAGCTCCATGGAATGTGGAAAGAGGGTCAGGCCACTTGGGAGGCATACAGGAATGCTGCCAGAGCATGTAGGGAAGCAACTAGAAAGGCCAAGGTTCACCTGGAACTAAGTTTGGCAAAGGATATCAAGGATAACAAGAAGGGCTTCTTCAAGTATATCAGCAGCAAACGTAAGACTAGGGGAAATGTGGGACTGCTGCTGAACGAAGTGGGTGCCCTAGTGACAGAAGATACAGAGAAAGCGGAGCTACTGAATGCCTTCTTTGCTTCAGTCTTCACTGCCAAGGCTGGCCCTCAGGCTCCCCAGTCCTTGGAGGTAAGCAAGCAAGCTTGGAGAAAGGACGACCTTTCCTCGGTCGAGGTGGATCAGGTTAGGGATCTTTTAAGGAAGCTGGACACC